TACTAAGAGTCTGTAGTCAAAATCTAAATCGTAAAGTAAACTTTGTTGCAAGCAGAGAAGCAGAGAATCAGAACCAAATACGTATTGTGCACAAATTGTATTAATTAAAACACAAACATAACTAATCTAAACACATGCATACATGTGTTTAGTGAAAGAATGGAATCGGAAGCAAGAAATGGAACTATGGGAAAGATCTATTTAACAATGAAAATAACCATCAGCCTATCATTTTCAGAGCACCTCATTAAATTGATACTTGCAAGGCCTGTGCAGAGGAAACAATTCTTGAAGTTGTTGAAAATTGAAGTTGTTGGTTCTGTGAATGTCAAATGTTGAAGTTGCCATCGTTTTCTTCTCAGTTGGATGAAGAAGATATGATGAACTTGTATGGGTAGTTCGACTCTGTTCTCATGGCTGGAGTGCAGATTGTGGCCTGCCGACCCTGGGCCGGAGAGGACACGCAGAGCAAATGGTAGGAGTTGCGATGGACTTCTTCTGTGTTGAATGAAGACGTCGTGGCAAACTCCTGAGGTTGTCCTTGATTCTGTTGTGGTTGAGAGAGTCCTCTCCTTAATGAGCACATGGCTGGTTGGGAGTCAAGGCCTGCTGCCCTGGGGTCTAGGGCCTGGTGCGGCCCCGCAGGACAACAGCCCGAACGTAGTAGAGAAGGCCAAGAGAGGGAAGGGCTTGTGGAGGTGCAATTTAAAGCCTGAGAAAGGTCCTACCTCTCAGGGTTGGCTCGACCAATAAGAAAGGTGGAGTTTACAAGCAGGAGAATTTGATTTATGGATCTTCTGTTTCAAGCGTGCTCATTTGAATGTGCAGCCGAAATTAATCGTTTCTACGATACATCGCGATGCAGACGAAGACGATTCGGTATCGGTTCAGTAATAGACCATAACCGATTATAATGTACTGACGCTTTTCTGACGTCATTATTCTGTGTTGTTACGCGTGATTATAAATGGATGATCATCACCTTCAACAGTGGACTCGGCGACGGTTGATGCGCGCATCTCTAATGGTAACATTATACACTGATGAATGAGCGCTGCTTTAAAATGAACATTTCTTTAAAACAAAATTGATTTGACAGAATTTCATTTTCTTAATGGCATAAACAGGATTTACTCCCTTGAAACTTAAACTGGAATGTCACTGTTTCTGTCACTGGGACTTCCCGAACAGGCGAACACACACACACACACACACACACACACACACACACACACACACGCGCACACATCACTTTTGAAGTAAAATTGAAAATTGAGGATGCGGTGCATCGTAATGTCGAATTGAACTGAATCGATGACATGATAATCGTAATCGAACCTAACCATGAGACTAGTGTAGGTTCACACCCCTACCAAACATGGTATAGGTGAGGTTACAATGACCGTTGGTTCTATCATAAAATACACAGTATCAAAAATAAAAATTAATAGAATTAAAAGACACTGCACAAAACAGTAAAACATTCACACAATTTTCTGGGCTGCATGGTCATTTATAGATCAGTTCGTCTATGATTAATGCAGCAAAGTTTGTTTTAAAGTCTGTTTCTGTCTTCTCTGTCTGGACCACGTGATCACATTTTTCACAACTTATCTGATCGTAGTCATGGTAACCAAAGACCCTTCTTGCCCCTGTTGGGGGATGGGACCACAGATCACAGAGTGAGCTCCAAACATAACTTGCCAACTATAACAAACAATTGTGTCTGATTTTTCTCAGTCGTTACAACTTTAATCTTGAAAAATTCCAACTTTATTCTCAAAATATTTCGACTTTATTCTCAAAATGTTAGAATAATTTTTTTTACGTTGCGGTTCAGGGCTATTGTAAGAATTAAATTCTCAGAAGAAATACGTAAAATAGTGGTAGTAAATAATTTCATTTAATTTTCTCAATTATGTTGACTGCAATCATTAAGCTTAACCTTCAAACCTGTAACCAAGTAATTGTAAAAAATGATCAGATTATTAATTAATCAAAAATAAGTTTATTAGTAATAGTACTATTAAACACACAATCTGCTTAACTCTTAACTAGCTAGATGCTATAAGAAAAATAAATGTGTATGCTATACATGCATGATATTGTTACGTGCATGCCTTGTTTAGTTTGATTTTCATTGTCTCCAGTTCGTTCATCAGTTGTCATGGTTTGTAGTTAGTTCCACACCTGTTCTGTTTTCCCTTGATTACTCCCTGTGTCTATAACCCCTTGGTTTTCACAGTTTAGTGTTGTTTACCGTTGTTTACGTTAATGTTTAAATCTGGTTAGTTGACCATTTCTTAAATTTTAAGTATTTGAGGCCCTATTTGCATACCCTTTTCGTAGAAAATAGGAACACTGCTGCAACAGTTACAGTTCGTAAAGTGTGTTACAGAGTGTAAAGTTCAAATGTTCCAATCTATATTGCCATACACCTGAATGCATGAGCATGTTTCGGGGTGTGGGTGTTACGTCCCCCAGCTCCGCTGTGTGTTTCTACATGTGTGTTTGAGTGTTTGAGTTTCCCTTGCTCTTAATTACAGATGAGCCACACCTGAGCGCAGCCATATACTTGAGCTACAAAAGCTGTCCGGAACCACACGTGAGGGCGCACACAGAGCCTGAGAGAACGGAGTCGATGCACTGCCGTGCTGTCTGTCGTTAGAGTTTTTGCAGTCCACCCCGGGAATCAAAAGCGTTCCGCCTTTGTAACTCTGTCTTTAATTGTGAACTTAGCCGGTATTTGATAACCGACCTACTTAATAAACATACCCCTATTTTTGACACGAGCTGGCCTGTGTGTGTCTCTCCTTTATGTTAAGGGTGGTGTCCGTCCGCCCGTAACACGTTTACAATTTAGGTGCATAAACAAGCCCAGTTTCACCATTGAATCCATGTGCTTAACATGGCAATGAATTCTACCCTTCAATTAGCATTCCATTCCTTTCTCTCTCTGTCCTCCTCCTCTCTTTTCCTCTTCTTTCGGCAGTTACATAATCTGCTGCAGAAGCTAAAAATGGACAGGTAAAGACAATTATAGCTCCACAATAGCTGCCTGACAGTGAGTCATCATGGCGTGTGTGTCTCTGTGCGAGTGCACCACAACATTTGTCAGTATTCTGTTTTTAGCAGTCCAGTCATGCATGCACATGGCAGGAACTTTTCTTTCATGGTTGGGACTGATGGATTTGATTTAGCAGTTAATAATTTGATCCTTAACTTAACTACAAAAGGTGAGTAATTGTAGTTTAGTGGAGTTTAAATATCTAAGAGACATATGCAGACTGACACAACGTGTTGCCATGGTGACAGGACCCAAGCTAGGGCGAGTCCTGAGGATCTATAATGAAAACGTCTCATTCTGTGGCTTCTCCTTCCCCCTCATTATGCCTCTTTTGCCCTTTTTAGCAGACCCAAATCATACTTCATAAGCAAAGGGCGCTAACATTTTCCCATGCATAAAGGCAAATGATTGTTACAAAACACTACAGACAGTATGCAAACTTGTACAGAACATCCAGAAATCATCTATCTATCTATCCATTAATCTATCCATGGCTACTTATCCATGGAACTGTATCACACACTGTAAAAAATTTAAGCTAGCACAAAAAAAAAAAAAAAAAAATCTTAGAACTAATTTCCACTAGCTTTTGTAAATAACAGTTATATGAACTGAAAATAAGTTGTCTGTGACACACACACACACACACACACACACACACACACACACACACACACAAAAAAGCGTTTAGTTGAGTAAATTTGACATTATTTGTTTTCTGGAGAGGTGCAACTATTCTGTAACAAATCTTTTGTAGTTGAGCCAATTCAATTGCCAAAGCCAATTGTGAAATATTATTACAATTTAAATGAACCGTTTTCTATTTTAATATATATTAATATTCCTGTCTGTGATGGTAAAGCTGAATTTTCAGCATCATTACTCCAGTCTTGAGTGTCACATTTTTCTTCAGAAATCATTATTACATGCTGATTTGATGCTCAAGCAGGGTTTCTGCAGGTTTTATGAAGGTAAATTTAAGACTTTAAGACCTTTTTAAGTATGTAGTATTAGCCATCTGTTCTCTAAATGTAAACGTCTAGGGAGAAAACAGTGAGTTGTATTAGCAAAACTTCAGAGTTTGAAAATATAACATTCAACAGATATCCGTTACTTTTTAAGTCATTCTACAAAAAACTACAGAAATAACTTTAACTGTAAGTTCTGATCACGCTGCAAAATAAGTGATGTTCTTCCTCAGTATTTTTGTCTTGTTTTCCAGTTAAAATTTCTAAAGATTCCTAAATCAAGGAGATACGAAATGACAAAATATGAGGTCTTGTTTTCTGTGAAATTGATCAAAATGAATTTAAGATTAAAACAAGAACAAATATTTGCCAATGGACTCAGAAACTTAATTCAAAGGGAAGTTTTAATGCCTAATTGATGATATTTGTTCTTGTTTTAAGCATAAACTCACTTAATTTTGTTACATTTTTCAAGACTTTATTTGCATCTCAAGTATTTGTATTTGTGTGATGTATGTCATAATAACAGTGATTTAAAATAACACGTTACATACATTCATGCAAGAATTCATCCAACCAATATTCACCAATTCATTCTTCCATTAACAATCAGTCAATCTATCTCTTTATCAATCCAATCATCAATCACACCTTCAATATCCATCATTGTGACCATCCATTCAGTCAAACCTTTTCTTAATCAATACATTCCTCCATCTACAATCTATCCGTTTATGCATCAATCATTTAATTATTCATCCATTTATCATCACAGTGACAATCTATCTGTTCCTCCTTTCACCCAAATCATTAATTCATCCATCCCCTGCTTCATGACCAAATCTATTTATTTATTCATTCATCCATCCATCCAACCGAGTCATAATATTCATGAATGCATTCCTCAATCAATAATCTGTTTATAAGTCCATCTATCCATTCCCTGCCAGCACTGTGTGTCCTACCTGGGCCGGTGAGTTGTGTTTCCTGCCGGTGTTGGGCTCGTGGGAGTAAGGTAGAGCAGTAGAGCTGGGACCAGCCCCCTGATGCCCCCCACCGCTCTTATCGGCTCCAGCCACCCCTCCTAAGATGCAGCAGAGCGCTCCCTGGGCCAGCTCCATCTCTATCTCTGCATCCATCTCTGCCTCCTCCTGGGCTTCTTTGTTAGAGTCATCCAGGTGTTTCATCAGTACCGCCACAACCACATTGATGAGCACAAACTGGGCCGTAAGCACAAAGCTCACAAAGTACATAGGAGAGATGAACTGCAGGCTGGGATTACAGGTGTATTCACCCTGCGGGCATTCTCGAAGAGTGTCCTACAGAAGTGAAGAGAGAGTTACCATAAAGATATTTAAACTTAACAGTTGGTTGTTTATTTGACTAGACAAATCAGGTTCACTACATAGATTTTCAATACTCGATCCCACTTCTTTTAGAAATATTTTTGTTGGAGTAAAATAGTTGCACTGTAATAAGATCATTTTCTTAATCTGCAATTTTGTCTTGTTCTCCAGTAAAAATATCTGAACATCCTTAAAATACAATAATAATTTTTACTACCGTTTATTTTATTTTATGCAAAAAAAAACAAGACACGCTTGGCACGCAAGGCACACACGCTCATAATAGAAGCGACGCGGCCGTGATTTGTTTTCAGGCGCAGTGAGATGAAAAAATCTCAACTTTTCAGAACGTCCTCGTCGTTGTGGAGAGCGCAGTTTATGCTTGCATAGCAACGACAGACGCCACGTGAGCAAAAGCGCTTTGGAAAGTAGACAGCGGCGATCCCCGCCTTCCACGCATTTTAGATGCGATATGTGAACGGCCCCTTAAGTTAATTTTTATGTTCTATCTGAAATGTCAATAACTTTGTTTCAATAGGGTTGTGCACTGAACACTTGACAAATTACTGTATTAGATTACATCAATCAAACAATGAGCACTAAATATTTACTTTTATTTCATTTAAATTGATCATGGCTTCGATCTCCTACAGATTGCTGATAACCAGCACTTTGTGCTGCATGTAGCATCAGCTACAGGAACAAATCCCAGAATGCCAGTTTCATTTTTATTTATTCTGATGTAATAAACTACTTCTTTCCTTCAAAGCTGGAGTAACTGAGAGTCGCTCGCAGTAATTTTGCTTGGCCACTCATGCATGCGGTTTGGGTTCGGGGAGGCGATGGGTTCTCTGCAGGTATGTAGGAACTCAGGTTGTAATTTAAAGCTCTGATTATATTGTGCTCTAGCTGCTAGGAAACCACTGCAAGCCTCCATCAACCGTAAAACTGATTGTGTGTGTGCCTAATGGGGGGAACTGTCACCCTCCATCAAAAACACACTCTGGTGTGTGTGGGGTGCTATGCATCAATATCGTGCCAATGTGTTCTCATTTATTCAGGTGTGCTTTACTACTGCGCTGAATATGCTGAGCTGGTAGTTCCTCCATCATATACCTACCATATAAACGGCAGGTTAGAGAGAGAGCAGATGAAAGGTGGCAGGTTCTCTTTACACAGGAAGATAAGAATTCATTCCTCAAAGACAAGTGTATTAGAGACGAGAAAGACACAGAGAGCACGAGAGAGAAACCACAGAGGACAAACAAAGAGGCTATAATAAAATAATGTACAAACCAAAAGGAGATCAAGAAGAAGATCTCATTGTCCCTTTTCAAAAAAAAAAAGAAAAAAAAAAAAGAAAAGTGTGGAAAAGTGGTGAGAACAGATTGTGACGCTGAAGATGTATAAGCCACTACCTCAAAGGACTTTTCATAACAACCTATGCCGGACTCTTTACTGCGGCGATGCATTAGAAACCAGGGCCGTAGCTAGTAAATTCTGGGTCCCCACTCAGATCATATACGGTATAAGACATAGACATGGAGGCCCACATCTGGTGCCATGTAACCTAATAGGGATTTCTTACGCAATAACAATATAAATGTTGTTTTATATATATATATATATATATATATATATATATATATATATATATATATATATATATATATAAATATTGCTTTTACCCATTTTATATAAATTTATATACAAAGTTGATAAAAAAAAAAAAAAAAAAAAAAGACAATAAATTGCTATAATTAATAACCATCGGACTAAACCATTTTTATGGAGTGGAGAGAGAGGAGATATTTGGAAAACTTATTTTACTAAAGTGAATGCTTTTTTTTGTTTTCATTAAACTCTCGGGCGTACACTGTAATATATACTATAGTAATTCATAAGAGTAGGGGAATATATAGCATAAATGACATGACAGAGAACCTAACACAGAAGAAGCAAGTTCTCATTTCATTCTGTTTTGTTTTGTGTGTTATAATGAATTCAGATCCAGCGTTGGAATTTGTTATTTTTAATATTTTGCTGAGTGCTTGTTCTCTTCAGTCCCAGAAAGTGACAACAGCAATGTTCTCTTGTCAATTCTACTTGCAAGTTGTTTTTCCAGGATGCAATCATAAAACAAAATACAAAGAAATGTATTCCTGTTGTTTGTACAGTATAAGCCTAATGCAATTAGGGTCTATTTATTATGGTCTTGACCATCTTATATTCAAATCTAAATCATATTTGGTTTGGAATTGCTGATCCCTGCATTTATCCACTAATCTACAAAATCCCAGGTACAACAGTGGCAGATGTATGGATGAGGATATCAAATTAAATATGTCATCTCATTTTAATACTTGAATCAGCTTGCAAGAATGACTGTTCACACAAAAAAAAAACATTTTTTTTTAGTTTAATTAGTTAAAAACAACTCATTTTATTCTAAAAATATTATCAAAATAATATAAATAAGATTAATAATTATAAGGCAATGACACATTTAACCGATCAAAAGTGACAGTTAACATTTATGTTACAAAATATTTATATATCATACTATTCTTTTGAACTTTCTATTAATCAAAGAATCCTGAAAAAAAGAAAGTATTATGGTTTCCACTATAATATTAAGCTTTGATAATAAAATAATAAAAAGAAACGTATCAGCAAGAATCAGTATATTAGAATGATATCTGAAGGATCATGTGACACTGAAGACTGGAGTAATGATGCTGACAATTCAGCTTTACCATCACAGGAATATATATATATATATATATATATATATTTTTTTTTTTAAACAGCTATTTTAAATTGTAATAATATTTCACTATTTTTGATCACATACATGCCTTGGTGAGCATAAGACTTCTTTTAAAAACATTTTAAAAATCTGACAATTTCAAAGTTTAAAACAGTTTTTTTTTTTACTACACTCAAAAAAAATGATATGTTGGCTTTACTTAACTTTTTTTTGTAAACAGGTTCCACCGGTTCCACATAACTATGTTTCGTTAAACAAACATAATATGTTCATGTAACTTCAACATCATGGAATTTGGTCATTTTAAGCGACCCAATTAAACTCTGAGCTAATGAGTTAATTAAGTGAATAATTGAGTGATGATTGAGCATTATTGAAGACACCTGATGTTAACAAGTAGAATCTCTGAATGAGAAAACCGGAATGTTTAAGTCACCATTATGGAGATAAGTATTCGTTTTAGTTGGGCTCTTGACCATTAACTTATTAACTTTAGATTTTGTTTGGTTGCTGTACATGAGTTATAACAGCCGGATGAACAATAAACAAAGGTCATCTGATGGTATTGGTTGTGTTTTAACATAATCATTATTTCATAATCATTTGGCCTGAGTCACTGAACTTATATTAAACTGAATTTCTGAGTTAAGTTTACCTTATGGATAATAACAGCACTGTCATTGTAGAGCATACTATTTTTTTTACTTTTCAATGAAATTCAAATGATCAAATCAATAAATAAAAAAGAAACTTCCTAAAAAATATTTTCAGTAGACACACACAGACATCAAGAATCAGCCTGTGAATCTCAACAATGGTGACAATTATAAAGCATGTTGCAGTGCATTCTGGGTGCCACCAATCAAAACTCATTCATGGCTCCCATCATGCATTGCTGCATGAATAAATAATGAGCTTATGATCTGTTTGTCACCATTGCTGAGATTCATATGCTGATTCTTGATGTCTGTGTGTGCCTACTCTAAATATTTTTTAGGAAGTTTCTTTTTTATTTCTTGATTTGGTCATTTGAATTTCATTGAAAAATCTAAAAATAGTATGCTCTACAATGACAGTGCTGTTATTATCCATAAGGTAAACTTAACTCAGAAATTCGGTTTAATATAAGTTCAGTGACTCAGGTCAATTGATTGTGAAATAATTATTATGTTAAAACACAACCAATACCATCAGATCACCTTTGTTTGTTGATCATCCGGCTGTTATAACTCATGTACAGCAACCAAACAAAATCTAAAGTTAATAAGTTAATGGTCAAGAGCCCAACTAAAACGAATACTTATCTCCATAATGGTGACTTAAACATTCCGGTTTTCTCCTTCAGAGATTCTGCTTGTTAACATCAGGTGTCTTCAATAATGCTCAATCATCACTCAGTTATTCACTTAATTAACTCATTAGCTCAGAGTTTAATTGGGTCGCTTAAAATGACCAAATTCCATGATGTTGAAGTTACATGAACATATTATGTTTGTTTAACGAAACATAGTTATGTGGAACCGGTGGAACCTGTTTACAAAAAAAAGTTAAGTAAAGCCAACATATCATTTTTTTGAGTGTAGCGGTCCCCGCCTCTTTTTATAACAAAGGGATGCTCATAGTACTATGGCTCTTTGTTCTGCTGTACCTTCATTATGCCGTTCCAGTTATCACCAGTGGAGACCTGAAATAGGGTGAGGAACGCCATGCCGAAGTTCTCAAAGGTGGCGTGACGACTCATGCCCTCACATGGGTAGTCCTGGTTGCACACTGAGGGGAACAGATAGAGACGTAGAGAGAGTTTGTTTTGTTGCATACTATTGTGAATGTTTCTTTTCACCTAAAAGCTTTGTCTCAATATAACCTATGCAGTCCTGCCAAATTCAGCTTTGAACTCAGAAGAACCACAAGAAAGTCAGTGAGGATAGGAGTTAAAGAGGAATAGTATGTGTTTACCCAGCTCTCCAAACAATTCCACCCCCAGTGCAGCATAAATGAAGAACAGCAGCATGAAGAGGAGGCCAAGGTTCCCCACCTGAAACACACCAATCAAGACTGAAACCAGCACACCAACACAATATACAGGCAAGCACACCGTATTACATTTACACTGAATTATTTAGCAGATAATTTTATCCAAAGCAATTAACAATTATCATACAGAATCCAAGAGCAGTACCACAATCTGGATTAAGCTGAAGTAGAACAAAAATTAGTGCACAAAAGTTTGTAGATTTTCACTATATATCTCTTATATTCATAAAAAAAATAATTTTAATAGCCTAAAGTTGATGAATTACAGCACCTACCTAAAAAAATCACAGTAATCCCACAGTGCCTTAAAAAGGGCATTTTACCCATGTTTTATGTTTAAACCTTACTAAACTTTGCTATATTTATGCTTAAAGCTAAAACTAAATATTTACCAATGGGGTAAGATATATATATATATATATATATTTCAAGACATACTCTCTCATTATGTTATGCAATTTTGCTTCTTAAGTAAATATATGATATAAGAATGTCCATATATTTTGGCTTGGAAAAAATTATTAAGAAAATGATTTTTGCAATGTTTCTAAGACAAAAAATGACCCTGAGGTTTTGTAAAGATGGAAGAAGTGTCTGGAACAGACATAACAATAACAAAAAGCAATGTAATGTGCATTACTAAAGTAATAGTCTAAGCGACTGCTGTAGCTGTTTCCCTGCAGCAAAATTAAGCAGAACAAATTTGTGATTTAACAAAAAGCTCATAAATGATGGAGATGGATGGTAGGCTACCAGTGGTCATGTCAGAGGTACAGCTATGGGAACAGAATTACCTTCTTAATGGAGGAAATGACCTAATGTGGCCAAAGCACATGAAGCATCATGTTAGCTATGCTAATGCTAACACACAAGCCTGTCAGACAAAACCAAAGGTGATAAAGAATATGGTGTGCTAACAGCTAGCCTAAAGTACAGGTAATTATGAAAACCATGTGAGATAGCTATAAACATGTAAAATGGTGAATGAAACAATCAGCTTACATCACATTATTGTAATTTGTATAGTTACACGATGTGGTTGGCCGTGCCATTTTATGTGGCGTGCCAGCGTGTATGATGAAACAACAGCTGAGCTTTATTACTATTTAATGCTAAAGTAACCTACCTTTCCTGATCGTTTAGGTTCCTTGTCCCTAAAGATTGAAGATCATGTAAAGAGTTTAGGCCTGATCATGGACTCATCACTAAATTTTAATAGACAGATTGGTGCTGTTGTTAAAGGTAGCTTTTTTTAACTTGAGATCAATTGCTTAAGTAAAGCATTTTCTATCCAGTAAGGATTTGGAAATTGTGGTTCACTCTTTTATTTCATCAAAGATTGACTATTGCAATTCTTTATATATTGGTCTCCCCCAGACTATGCTAGTCCGCCTACACTTAGTGAAAAATGCAGCGGCAAGGCTTTAAACGGGGGTGAGAAAGAGAGACCATATTACTCCTGTACTGCAATCCTTACATTGGCTTCCGGTTAAATTCAGGATTGATTTTAAAGTCCTCTTGTTTGTCTACAAGGCCCTATCAGGCCTTGCCCCCCAGAACATCACTGATCTTATTATTCCCTACTCTCCTTCTAGAGTTCTTAGGTCCTCCGATCAAAGGCTTTTAAAGGTCCCTCGTTGTCATTTAAAATCAAAAGGAGATCGTGCTTTTTCTGTGGTAGGTCCCAAACTTTGGAATAGTCTCCCATTCCACGTGAGGTCAGCTCCATCAATTGGCACTTTTAAGTCTTATTTAAAAACATATTTATTTTCTTTAGCTTTTGAATAAGTCAAGTTTTGTTTTGTTGTACGATTTTAATGTTATCATTTTTGTAAAGCACTTTGGGGCAACGTCTGTTGTTTGAAAATGTGCTATATAAATAAAGTTGCTTGCTTGCTAATGGACTATCAAACCTACAAACCAATGCTACAAAATGACAGTCATTTTGGCTTCAAGATGTCAAAGGGAAACATTATGACTTAACAGAATCAGGATGTGTGCACAATAGCGGCAAAACTGCTTCATTCTTCTGTTTGTTCCTAAAGTGAGCATCTCTGGCTGTGTTTCAATCTAGAACGAGCCTATGATTCCCAAACATGTAGTCTAGGTACAGTAGGCATCTAACAAGCCTTTTCACTATAAAGCACAAAATATTGGTTAGGTAGCTTAGAAACAAGCACTGGTTTCACACAGATGGTAAATCCACACCATTTGATATATATATTGTGGTACTAAATGATTACTATATTCATGCACCATAGGTACTTCAAAGGTGCTTCAAAGAATACAATGGTACTACGTCCATAAGACTTATATTCAGCAAAGAATCATTCAATTGATCAAAAGTAACAGTAAAGACATTTATAATTTCACAAAGGATTTCTATTTCAAATAAATGCTGTTGTTTTGAACTTTCTATTAATCAAAGAATCCTGAAAAAAGGATAATAATATGTAATAAAAATGTTTCTTGAGCACCAAATCATCATATTAGAATGATTTCTGAAGGATCATGTGACACTGAAGAGTAATGATGCTGAAAATTCAGCTTTACCATCACAGGAATAAATTACATTTTAAAATATATTCAAATAGAAAACAGGTTTTAAATGATACGACTTTTAAATTATAATCATATTTCACAATTTTATTGTTTTACTGTTTTTTTTGATCAAATAAATGCAGCCTTGGTGAGCAAAAGAGACTTAATAAAAACTTTCTTTTTTTTTTTTTTTTTTTTTTTTATCGTACTGACTATGTCTACTGCAAAACTAAATCAATATGAGGACCATAATAAGGTTAAATGATATAGGATAAATTAAAGTCAATTTGAAGCTTATGTGGAATGAGCAGTATCTCTAAGAGAGTTGTAAAGGAAATGCACAGGAGTTTCTGGAAAGATGTACTAAATAAGAACTGTGTGGTAGGAATGTGTGCCTGAGTAGCTCTTTAATCAGCTTCAGCGTTAATTATCTCACAGATGCCATGGGGATAAGACATTGGGCCCAGCAGAAATGAACAAGGGATCGATATCCACAGAGGAGTGACGCTTTACTCCACCCTGGCGATGTCTAGCCAGCAGTTCTCCACTGAGCAGTTACCACTCTGTGACCACTTAGACGACAACAACACTCTGTGTGTTTATGGAAGAGTTCTGATTGCTTTATGGAGTCTGTGTGAACTGCTTTCTTTTCATATTATTTCTTTCTTCAAACTTTGTATTTAAAATTGTTTAATATTCCTCAAACTCATCTATGCTCTATGTAATGGGAGAATGATCTTTCTATCCAGAGTCTCAACTTTTATTTGATTCATTCATTATTTTATGTTGTGCTTTAAAGCTGTGACAAAAAATGAAGTTTGTTATTAATGTATCCTAGTTGAAAAAGCTATGAATAAGATGAGTGTGTGTGTGTGTGTGTGTGCACGCGCAAAAGCAGGTACTTTATTATTGCTTTTGGGTTATTATACGCCCTGAGCAAGTTTGTGGTTCATATGAGTCACCAATTTTCATGGGCCAATAAGCAGCCTGTTCTTGTTGTCAACACAGCTTGGATAACTTCCTATTCTCAAGACAAAATATGACTAAAAGGGGGTGGGGTAACAATGCTTCATCAGGGGTTTGAAGTGGTATCATCACCTGTGGCAGGGCTTGGACTACCGTATCCAGCAGCGCTCTCATTCCCGTGGCCATCTTTAACAGCTTTAGCACTGTCAGAGAGAGAGAGAGAGAGAGAGAGAGAGAGAGAGAGAGAGAGTTACAGAGAGTTCAACAAGGCAGCTCAGTGAGTGTGTCCATGTCTACAATGCGTTAATCATTTCAGAAGAAGAAAAACAAAAAGGCTGATAACAGACAACAGGATCCCTCCCCACCTTGGTTTAATTCTAGCCTAAACGGCTAATGAGGAGAGAAGGAAAAGGTCAGGGCTAAAATTAAACCCTCACACTGCCGCCCTCTCCCTGTACAAATGTAGAGTGATGGCACACTGGCTCAGTGATGGCTGTAGACAACAGCAGGATTAAATACCAGATTAAACTCTAGACAAACAGATCAATCCTCAATACAGCATCACTGACCTGTGCAAAATACCATTTTGGTATGATGGAGTTGATATTTTTAAGGCTTGTATTGGGTAACGAGGCAAACGTAAAACTCATCGGCTATTAAGGACAACACATGGGCCACTGATCATGTAGGGAAATGGGGGGTGAAAACGACTGATTTGAGGAGACAAATATAATTTGGCAGATAAGAGAAATTAAACCACATTTCGTAACAATATTCTGTACATGAAGTGAGTTAATTTGTGTTTCAGGCTGGTGTTGTGTTTCATTTGTGTTTTCACGCTCTGAGAAAGGAAATAAGGCAATTTCATCTGATCTGGAGAACAATATAGACAAAATAAATATATGTTTGCCATTTATTAAGGTAAAAGATTAAGGGACACAATAAAACACATTGGGCTGTGGTTCTCATGTAGGGGATCAAGTTCAAATCAAGCTCGCAACATATTAGTCTCATTACTACTTTCACTCCCCATCATTTACTGTTCCCTCGCTACTTGCCAATCAATAAAAGTGATAAAGGGCTAAAAATAAATTAATACAGATGAAAGTCAGATAAATGGCTGTGGTGTGTGACAATAAGCACTTGTGGAGATTACGCTGGAATGGATGTGTGACGGGCGATTCAAGGATTTCAGTCTTATCTGAACACAAGCTGATGTGGGTTTGAGGAATATTTCTTACTTTAAGAGCAAGAGGTTCTGAGTTTATACTTGCTTGATATTTAAACAAAACAATCATCTATACAATATATATATATACACTCACCTAAAGGATTATTAGGAACACCTGTTCAATTTCTCATTAATGCAATTATCTAATCAACCAATCACATGGCAGTTGCTTCAATGCATTCAGGGGTGTGGTCCTGGTGAAGACAATCTCCTGAACTCCAAACTGAATGTCAGAATGGGAAAGAAAGGTGATTTAAGCAATTTTGAGCGTGGCATGGTTTTTGGTGCCAGACGGGCCGGTCTGAGTATTTCACAATCTGCTCAGTTACTGGGATTTTCACGCACAACCATTTCTAGGGTTTACAAAGAATGGTGTGAAAAGGGAAAAACATCCAGTATGCGGCAGTCCTGTGGGCGAAAATGCCTTGTTGATGCTAGAGGTCAGAGGAGAATGGGCCGACTGATTCAAGCTGATAGAAGAGCAACTTTGACTGAAATAACCACTCGTTACAACTGAGGTATGCTGCAAAGCATTTGTGCGGCCACAACACGCACAACCTTGAGGCGGATGGGCTACAACAGCAGAAGACCCCACCGGGTACCACTCCTCTCCACTACAGATAGGAAAAAGAGGCTACAATTTGCAAGAGCTAACCAAAATTGGACAGTTGAAGACTGGAAAAATGTTGCCTGGTCTGATGAGTCTCGATTTCTGTTGAGACATTCAGATGGTAGAGTCAGAATTTGGTGTAAACAGAATGTGAACATGGATCCATCATGCCTTGTTACCACTGTGCAGGCTGGTGGTGGTGGTGTAATGGTGTGGGGGATGTTTTCTTGGCACACTTTAGGCCCCTTAGTGCCAATTGGGCATCGTTTTAATGCCACGGCCTACCTGAGGCTTGTTTCTGACCATGTCCATCCCTTTATGGCCACCATGTACCCATCCTCTGATGGCTACTTCCAGCAGGATAATGCACCATGTCACAAAGCTCATATCATTTCAAATTGGTTTCTTGAACATGACAATGAGTTCACTGTACTAAAATGGCCCCCACAGTCACCAGATCTCAACCCAATAGAGCATCTTTGGGAAGTGGTGGAACGGGAGCTTCGTGCCCTGGATGTGCATCCCACAAATCTCCATCAACTGGAAGATGCTATCCTATCAATATGGGCCAACATTTCTAAAGAATGCTTTCAGCACCTTGTTGAATCAATGGCACGTAGAATTAAGGCAGTTCTGAAGGTGAAAGGGGGTCAAACACAGTATTAGTATGGTGTTCCTAATAATCCTTTAGGTGAGTGTTTATATATATATATATATATATATATTTATTAGTGCTGGGCCGTTATCGGCGTTAACGTGCTGCGTTAACGTGAGACTCTTATCGGGCGATAAAAAAAATATCGCCGTTAATCAAAGTTGGGTTGGGATCATAAATAGCTTTTTCGAATAGGCCTATCGTTATATTTTCGCGCAATTCTAATGTGTAGTATGACGCCGCGCCTACTGTCACAGATCGCGCAGTAGGGTATTTTCCTGTCAGGGACACAAGGTGTACTTTTACTTTGTTACGTTGGGCGACGTTCCTCTCGTTACTTTATTTTAATGCAATACGTTGTTAAATGAGTTTATTCCAAGCGCGCTGTGTCCTTTGTATGGGCATGAGCGATGCTTTTACAAATGAATCACTCTTTTGAGTCGATTCTGTTCAAAGACTTCATCAAACAAGTTGTCAGATGATCTGTCTAAATCGGTTCGCGAATCAGTTGATCTGTTCAGTTCCTCGCGCACTGAATCGTCTGAAGCGCTTTCAATTCACACTCGGAGTCGAAACAGGAAGATTTAAGAGCATCAAGAGCGTTGGATGAAGTGGCCGATCTACAGTCTAGTCTAGTGAATGCAAATCTGCAAATGCATCATATTTTTGCCAGCGATGAAGATCTTTATTAGTTGAACATCTTCGTAAGCTGTCTGTGAATGAATGATTCCACAGGACGATACATTCGATTTCATTTCATTCAGGTAACACATTGTGTGTGTATTGCGCGTGTATTGCGCAGTGGCATAATCACACAAATAGTTTACATTGATTGAAACTAATTTGTTTAAAAATGAGTCTATTGCAGTAACAAGGCAGGTTCACATAAAATTCTTATGACATATGATGACATTATTTTTTGATCTAACGAACATTGGCGATGCAAAAACGGACTGTCGTGCGTATTGTTTTTTCTTCTTCTTCCAATTAGCCTACTATGTTAAAAAAAGGACGAAAACATGTTACTTTTTCAATTAATAAACAGTTTGTTTGATGACAAATCGCTAAAGATGAAATTGGCCTCCCTTTCTGTCATTGCGGTTTTTTTTTGTTTTTGTTTTTTTAAGATATTCGACTTTTGCTCCTCGATTGTCGAATGGCATTTTTGGCAGAAATGCACATCCCTATGCGAGGCAAACTATTCTCAAAGACTTACTTTTAGTCATTATTTGGGTAGCACACATATTCTGAATGCCTTCGGGAGAATTCAAATGAGCCATTTTAATCTAGATTAATCTAGATTAATTTCAATATTAATCTAGATTAATCTAGATTAAAAAAAATTAATCTATGCCCACCTCTAATATATATATAAATTAAAATAAGTAGGTACATACAGTATACATACATACAGTATATATCTACTAATTTTAATTTATTTCTTGTCTTGTATAGTTTCTGATCTTATAGTTATATATATTATTTGTATTTCATATTTTCAAGTACAGGCTATATAAAGGAAAAAACTAGAGATGGACCTCACCAATCAACTAGTCTGTTGTTGGATTGGTCAAACCATCATGACCATCCTTGCTGGTAAGGGAATTCAGAGTGGAAGAAAAAGCTTCTGTATTCAGCAAGCATGAGGAAAGATCATCCCAAAAATCACACATTTTAAGGGCTCTAAGAGTTTAATGACATTTTTAATGGGGCTGAAATGTCTATCAGCAGCTATGATAGGTGGTGTTACCCAGTGGTCAGCGTCTTGTGTTTGCGTGACTAACCACGTGCGATGCGTAGGACCCTCATAATGCGTATGATGGTGGGGTTGATGGGCAGAGCAGCACTGATTTCAATCTCCTCCAGTATGATGCCCATAATTGACAGCAGCACTATAGCTAAATCCAGCTGGTTCCACCTGCACACATACATAGGGGACAGATTTGCTTAGTTTTGCAAAACATCAACTTTCATGCACTCTGAATCCAACCTTTCTGTCTAGTTTAATTTCACTCTGGTAACATTTGAAGATCGGTCTGGTCAAACAGTTGGCTTGGGACCCGAATTGTTGCTGGGGACCACTTAATAACACCCAATTAGGGAGAATTAAGGCCCCACTCCAGCATAGGTGACCTCATTCACTAATGCAGGACAAGGGGCAGCTCGTTTTTACATTACAGCAAAAATCAGTTTCCCACATCTGCGGTGCTGGAACCAGCCGTGGCACACCTGCCTGCGCACACACCTCTGCCATCCAGCTCGTAATTGTGACCTAGTTAAGAGGCATGGAGAGCTACGACAATAAATAATGGCTTGTTGAAAGCTTTCTAGTGTCAGACCCAAATATGCGTGAATAAAAAAGACAAAGTGTGTTGCAGCGTGAGCCTGTGTTTTTTTACTCTTTTAAATGGGTCAAAACCATATATTCTAATAAAGCTACAAAATGCCAGGATGTTTAGACCCTGTGCTTTCTCAATGCACCTTATCACATGACAGTATTAGTTTATGACAAGCCAGAGGAACGGCTCTTGTAGCCCGCCTAATGATAAATAGAAGTTCTATTATGTAAACAAACACAGGAGAGAGATTTCATTAAACCCTCGAGACAAATAACCATGTTCACTCTCGCACTCACTGTAGTCAGGTGCGTTTTGTCCTATTAACACCACGCAGGGCTAATCTAATTTCTATCTGCGTCATAAATGCAACATCAGAAGCAACATTTTGCCAATAGCACACCCTCCAGTGACTCCAGAAAACAAAATAAGAGGATTTGGTCAGGTGGAACATCTGATGAATTCGTTAAATCAATTAGCGATCGTAGGAGAGAAAACGTGAGGAGATGAAAGGTGAGGAGGGGAATGAACTGAATACCTGTCTTTGAAGAAACGTCGGAAGCCAAACGCGATGAGCTTCAGGACAGCCTCCAGCACAAAGGTGCTGGTGAAGAAATAATTACAGTACTTGAGAGTGATCTCCAGAGACTGGGGGGAAGGAAACATTCAGACGGAGAGGAAGCCAGAGAGACAGAGGAAGAGAACAAGAGAGGTGTGAATGATTAATAGACTTTCGCCTCAGGTTCATAAAGTCATTTTTACATTAGCTATATAAAAATATCATGTATTCTATGAATGTTTGTGTAAAGCCCAAAAAATGGATACAAGTCACATGCGTTTATGCAATGGTACTGTATGTGTTTTTCTCAAATTAATGGACTCCCAGGGTAACAGGGAAATTTCTGAATTGTGAACAAAAATGTCTCACTGAAATCAATAGCAATAAGAAGGCAAGCGATATACTGTAAAGCCAAATCAGCAATGATGGCTTTAATGATAACTACACAATATATTAGAAAATAAATCAAAATAATAAAGATTATTTAGAGGATGAGGCCTGCATTTTATCTTACATGAGGCTGGCTGTAGTGCTCCAGTGACATAGTCACAACATTCACACAGATGATGAAGGTGATGAAGATGTCCAGGTAGTGACTGGTGCACAGAGTGTGGATCATCAGTCGCACATGACTGTAACTGGCATAATAGGGCAACTTCTGGGCCTCTGAGAGAAATGAGTAGATTAGTTTAAATTGAGTAAGCACGCTTTTTGACAACAAATATTTAAAGTGTGTATTTTCAACAAATGGAATTCAAACAAGTTTCATTACTACTCCTTCGTCTGCCACTGGCCGGTCAAACTTATAGTCCCGCCCCCAAACATATACCATTAGTTAAGCTGAATGTTGTTGTGACATTTTTTGATAGCGCTACAAAGCCACATTGCTTACACTTTTCTGAAAATCAATCGACTAAAGGTTTAATTTTAATAATCTCTGCACATTAAATGGCAAAGGAGAATATTTTACCATAAAAAAAAATGTATTATACAAAAAAAGTCTGTATGTGTGATGAAAAGGCTACTCTCTGGTCCATAAACTAGATTTTTTTTTATTTGCAGAGGAAAGATGCATCACAGAACACACCAGAGTGGTCTCTCCATATGGCTAACGCTATTATGAGATGTCTGGAGAATTAAACTGGTTATTCAGCATTAGTGTGCAAATCGAATCATCTCTTTTCATTTACAGTCACTATGATCCTTCATCCACCAGTCTGTTGGAACCCGTAAGGCCAGTAGGGCTGTGGCCCAACATTCTTCAGCATGTCTAATATCAGTAATTGTATTTTTTTGTAACAAAATAAAATATAGATATAATAAATAGTTTTTGCTAAACTGAAGACAATATTAAACTGAACAGGAGGTTATTATTATTCCATTATTGACCCATTCAAAACATCTATTTTTCTTCTCCTTACTCCGTCTCTTTTTCTCCATGCGTCTCAGTCTCTTCTCCTCTCTCCTCTTGGCCTCTTCCACCTCCTGGTTCTGTCGGCACTTGTGGAAGTTCTCCACCACTACTCCAACAAACATGTTCAGCACGAAGAAACTGACAATCAGGAGGAAGGAGATGAAGTACAGCAGCATCCAGGGGTTGTTATTGGTTATGGGCTAAGACAGAAAGAACGGTGGATGAAAGAGTTAGGAAAATCAGAAATAAACTGGATTTTTCTTTAAAGAAAATGTGAATGCCGTTTGCCTTCTAGGTGGTTGCTAGGATGTTGCTATGGATTTGAGGTGGTGTTAAGGGTGGTCACTAGAGTGTTATGCTTTTGCTATGGTGTTCAAGGTTCTAGGCATTTGCTAAGGCTTTCTTTGTGGTTACTAAGGTGTTGTGGGTGCTGCTAAGTATGTTCACCTGTCATCTGACAGGTTAAAAGGGTAAAGCCATTGCTATGGTGTTCACTAGGGTGTTGCTACAGTAGTATTTTTGAGAGAATATTGTTTATGCATGTTTATTGATAAAACTAAAAATTAAAGTTTCTGAAATAAGGCCACAAAACACATACTAAATATGTGTCCACAAGACTTTTGACTAATGGATGTTGTGGCCTAGAGTATTTGCTTCAAAATGATCTGAAAATCATCCTGCCTAACCATTCACATAAAACGAATCGGTTACCTAACGTAACCTCGGTTCTCTCTAGAAGAGGGAACGAGTATTGCGTAAGCTAGCTTACGCTGCGGGAAAGATTCATCTTTGCTGAGATATTGAAGCCAAAAAATTATTTCATAATTTGTATCCATTCACAACGCAGTTCCTCTGCGGCAGACCTAGAGCAGGCTAGCTAGCAGCTCATTGGTTCGCTCAGAGAGAACTGCTTAAGCCAATGGGAGAGCGGGGCTGAACCCGCTTCCAATGAGAGGCGCCCGCGCGCTCATTGCGTCATGGCCCGCCAGAATGGGCGTGGCTATGGTGTATATAACAGTCTCTCCCAGGCTTATATGTTGATTTATTTCAGCGTGAAGCGAAACGCTAGTAGCGCAAGCACGGCCGGGAACGCAATACTCGTTCCCTCTTCTAGAGAGAACCGAGGTTACGTTAGGTAACCGATTCGTTCTCTTACGAGAGGTTCTCTCGTATTGCGTAAGCTAGCTTACGCTGCGGGAACACCTGGTCAACGCCGTGCGCGCTATGAATCCACTCATGAATCCCAGGGTGATACCGGGGGATTTTTAACGTGGAGTGAATGTATTATGAGGCCGGCAGAGCGGGCACATGAAGTGTATACATAAGCATGTATGAGGCCGGCAGAGCGGGCACATGAAGTGTATAAGCATTTAAGGAGAGCACAAGGGGCGAACCGGTTGTGTGAGGGACTCCCAGTAATGCAGCTTCTTAGAGAGCTGGTCGTTAGACAGCTAGTAATTTTGCCTGCAAGGCGGGAACTTCCAAGTTGTAAAATCTGACAAAAGTGGACGGGGAGGCCCATCCCGCGGCCACACAAATGTCATGAATGGAAATTCCACAGGACCATGCCCACGATGAGGCCATGCCTCTAGTGGAGTGCGCCCTGATGCCCAGAGGGCAGGGCAGGCATTTAGATGCGTAAGCAGAGGCGATAGCGTCTACTATCCATCTAGACAGTGTCTGTTTAGAGGCGGCCAGACCTTTGGTGCGCCCCCCAAACGACACGAAAAGCTGCTCAGCGCGTCTGAACGCGGCAGCGCGCGTAGTGTACAATCTCAGAGCCCGCACCGGGCAGAGGAGATTGGCGTCGCGCTCACTATTGGATGAAGGCAGAGCCGATAGGGAAATAATCTGAGCCCTGAACGGGGTACCAATCGCCTTCGGGACATAGCCATGTCTAGGTTTGAGAATGACAACAGAATCATTCGGTCCAAACTCGAGACACGCGGCGCTGGATGAGAGCGCGTGAAGATCCCCCACGCGTTTTACTGAGGACAGAGCCGTCAGAAAAACGGTTTTGAGCGAGAGGTATTTTAGGTCCACAGACTCGAGCGGTTCGAACGGGGGTGCTTTCATAGCTTCGAGAACTATAGAAAGATCCCAGATAGGAACCGAAGGGGGGCGCGGAGGGTTCATCCTCTTAGCTCCCCTGAGGAAGCGGATGACTAACTCGTCTTTGCCCAGGGACTGAGCGCGTCGGGGTTCAGAGAACGCCGCGACGGCTGCCACGTAAACCTTGAGAGTGGAGGGGGACCTGCCCTTGTCCAGCATCTCTTGAAGGAAAACAAGCAAAGACGGCACCTCGCATGACCGTGGGTCCAGATGTTTGTCGGTGCACCATTTTGAGAACACAGACCATTTAGACGCATAGAGCCTTCTCGTGGAGGGTGCTCTAGCCTGTATGATAGTGTTTCTTACTCCTTCTGGCAAATCGACGAATAGTCGTTGATCACCCATGCATGTAGCGCCCAGCGCCGTGGATGGGGGTGCCAGATCGTGCCGCGAGCTTGAGAGAGGAGATCTGCTCTGACTGGGACGGGCCACGGGGCTGTCTGTGACAGCTGAGTGAGCTCCGGAACCCAATTCTGACTCTCCCAACGCGGGGCTATGAGGAGCACCGAGTGGCGTGTGTCCCTGATCCTCTGAATTACCTGTGGTAGCAGAGCGATCGGAGGGAATGCATAGAGCGGGCGGCGAGGCCATTCCTGGGCTAGCGCGTCCTCGCTCCTTGAGAAAAATATTGGGCAGTGAGCGTTCTCTTCTGACGCGAAGAGGTCCACCTCTGCTCTGCCGAATAGCCGCCACAGTATTTGGACCGTTTGTGTGTTCAGGGACCATTCTCCTGAGGAGATGAGGTTCCTGGACAGTATGTCTGGACCGTCGTTCAGATGGCCCGGCACATGCGTCGCTCTGAGCGAGAGCAGGCGGCTCTGAGACCAAACTAAAATGCGGTGTGTCAGTAGGAAGAGATTCCTGGACCTGACGCCGCCCTGACGGTTGAGATAGGAGACCACAGCCATGTTGTCCGAACGGATCAGGACGTGGTGTCCCCGAATGAGCGGGAGGAAGCGCGAAAGCGCGTTCTCGACCGCAAGCATCTCCAGACAGTTTATGTGTAGGGGGCTTTCCTGTGTCGACCAATGGCCGAAGGCCGGTGAGCCCTCGCAGACTGCACCCCAACCCGTGTTGGATGCATCTGTCGAGATGACCTTTCGGCGGGAAAAGGTCCCCATCGTGACGCCCTGTCGAAACCATTCTGCTACTGTCCACGGCTGCAGCGCCGTGAGACATGTCTGCGTAACTCTGATCAGCTGGCGGCCCGTGTTCCACGCGCGGTGGGGTACACGGCTGTTCAACCAAAGCTGAAGCGGACGCATGTGCAGAAGGCCCAGCTGAAGCACAGCGGAGGCTGAGGCCATGTAACCCAGCATCCTCTGAAAAGTTTTCAGAGGTGAGCGGGTGCCCATCTGAAACGAGGCGGCCAGTCGCTGTACACTGCGCGCGCGCTGTGTAGACAGGCGAGCCGTCATCGTGACCGAGTTCAAATCTATTCCTAGAAAGGAAATCGATTGACTGGGTTGAAGGGAGCTCTTTGTCCAGTTGACAGAGAGGCCCAGCGTTTTCAGATGGTCGAGGAGAACTGCGCGGTGCGACAGAAGCTCCGTCTGTGATTGGGCCAAAATCAGCCAGTCGTCCAGATAATTCAATATGCGCAGCCCCTGGCTCCGCCGGGGGGCGAGCGCCGTATCCATGCACTTCGTAAATGTGCGGGGCGCCAGGGATAAGCCGAACGGGAGAACGGCGTATTGATAAACATGACCCTCGAAGGCGAAACGTAAGAATGGCCTGTGACGGGGATTTATCTGGATCTGAAAATAGGCGTCTTTCAGGTCTAGAGAGATGAACCAGTCCCCCTGGCGCACCTGCGCGAGGAGTTTCCTGGTAGTGAGCATCTTGAACGGTCTCTTCATGAGCACTTTGTTCAAAGACCTGAGATCTAAAATTGGTCTGAGGCCGCCGTCTTTCTCTGGAACCAGAAAATAACGGCCGTAAAACCCCGACTCGGTCATAGATGGTGGGACTCTCTCTATGGCGCCCTTTTGCAACAGCGTCGCTATTTCTGAGCGGAGCGTGCCGGCGGCCAGCGGGCTGACAGTAGATTCGAGCCGCGCGCGCGCACGAGGCGGGCGGCGGCGAAACTGTAGCAGATAGCCGTTCTTTATAATGCTTAGTACCCACGGGGAAATGCCTGGAATGGCTTCCCACGCTTTGGAGCATGCGGCTAGTGGCCGAATGGCTATATCGCCCTGATTGCTGCACATAGCGGGCTGGACACAGTGTGTGGGCGCGCTTTGAATGTGTGTGGCAACGGGATTTGCACTCAGAGAGGAGTCTATGGGCCGTGAAACAGAGCGAGCAGAGAGGGGACACGCGCACGAGCTCGTGGGCGTGTTTATGTTCTCTGATATTAGAGCGGGCTGTGCCCGTTTCATGTGATGGGGCTCTGAAAGAGACACGGGATATGTTATGCTTGTGTGTATGGGTGAGCACATGATTGTGGGCACATTTTCTACACAACTGGCAAATTTTCTCTTTTTGAGATTTCTCTGGGTAGCCGTAAAAACGGCTTTTTGTCGCTCGCAAGCGGGCTGGGACACCGGCTTGTTTGTGGCGGTCAACACTCCAGCAGTCGGCGAAATAACGGGGACTGGCAGAGGGCGAAGCTTTGACGGCGGTCCGGCCGCAGCGGGAGAGCACCGTCGTTTTCTTGACTTTGCTAGGCAGACTTCTGATGATCAGGCTTCAGCGTGATCTTAGGTCGCGGGCCTCGTGGGGGCGGCGGTCTGCGGCGGCTGTCAGAGCGAGAGCGAGGGCGGCCGCCCTGTCTGCGCTGGGCTGTTTGAGTCTGCGGAGGGGGGCGCTGTGGTGGAGCTCTGGCAGGAGGCTCGCGAGAGCGGCCCGCGGAAGAGCTAGCGCGGCGGGGCAGAAACAAATTCATCGCCTGAGTAGCTTTCTGGACCTCAGAAAAGCGATCGACGATTCCCGTGACAGCAGATCCAAAAAGGCCCGTCGGGGAGAGGGGCGCGTTAAGAAACGCGGCGCGCTCAGAATCTCCCATGTCGGCGAGCGTGAGCCATAAGTGTCTCTCGGCAACACAAAGGCTGGCCATGCATCTCCCCAGAGCTTGTGCGGCGGCTTT